GTCTCACTCTGTCACCCAGACTGGAGTGCAGTGGTGTGATCGCCGCTCACTGCAACCTCTGCCTCCCAGGTTCAAGCGATACTCCTGCCTCAGCCTCCCAAGTAGCTGGGACTACAGGCTTATGCCACCAAGCCCGGCTAATGTTTTGTATTTTTAGTAGAGACGGGGTTTCACCATGTCAGCCAGGATGGTCTCAATCTCCTGACCTCATGATCCACCTGCCTCAGCCTCCCAAAGAGTTGGGATGACAGGCGTGAGCCACCGTGCCCGGCCGAGGCATGTTACCTTGCTTTGTTTTTTTTGTTGTTTGTTTTTTTTGAGACAGACTTTTGCTCTTGCTGCCCAGGCTGGAGTGCAGTGGCACAATCTCAGCTCACCGCAACCTCCGCCTCCTGGGTTCAAGTGATTCTCATGCGTCAGCCTCCTGAGTAGCTGGGATTACAGGTGAGCACCACCACGCCCAGCTAATTTTGTATTTTTAGTAGAGACGGGGTTTCTCCGTGTTGGTCAGGCTGAACTCGACCTCTCGACCTCAGGTAATCCGCCCACCTCGACCTCCCAAAGTGCTGGGATTACAGGCATGAGCCACTGCGCGTGGCCTGCATGTTACTTTTAAGAAGATCAACTGCTGGCAATGAATCACTTGAACCCCGGAGGTCAAGGCTGCAGTGAGCAGTGATCGCACATTGCACTCCAGCCTGGGCAACAGAGTGAGACCCTGTCTCAATAGTAAAACAACAAAACAAACAAAAAAAACAAGTGCTGCAGAGGAAAGATCTCCTCCTCACTATTCACTTGTTTCCTCATTGGTCATAATAATAATTTTAACAATAACAAAAGATAATATTTTGGCTCTTGCTATGTGTCAGAGACCATCCCAAATGTCTGACTCACTAAATCTTCAAACCAATCCATAGTGAGCATAATTATTATCTCCACTTTACAGACAAGGGGTTCAAGAAGTGCAGAGAGGTAAATTAACTCAGGAAATGTCACAGAACCAACAGTGGTGGAGCTGGGATTCAAACCAGATAGGGACAGGAAAAATATCTAACTTAACCACATGAGCTGTTGTGTGGATCCAATCCTATGCTGTATATAAAATACTTGAGGCCAGGTGCAGTGGCTCATGCCTGTAATCCCATCATTTTGGGAGGCTGAGGCAGGAGGATCAAGTAAGACCAGGAGTTGAAGACCAGCCTGGGCAATATAGTGAGTGAGACTCCATCTCTACAAAAACATTTTTTAAAATTAGCTAGGCATTGTGGTTTGTGCCTGTAGTCCCAGCGACTTGGGAAGCTGGGGCAGGAGGAGAACTTGAACCTGGAGAATTCAAGGCTGCAGTGAGCTATGATCCCATCACTGTACTCCAGTCTAGGTGACAGAGCAGGACCCTGTCTCAAAAAACCACAAAAATCAGCTGGGTGCAGTGGCTCATGCCTGTAATCGCAGCAGTTTGGGAGGCCAAGGTGGGTGGATCACCTGAGGTCAGGAGTTCAAGACCAGCTTGGCCAACATGGTGAAACCCTGTCTCTACTGAAAATATAAAAATGAGC